TTTTTTTCTCTTTCTCTCATTATTTTCCAAAATTAAAGATCCTATGTTACTACTTGAAAATGATAATAATTGTTATCGAAACGTTGATAAAAAAAATAGTAGCTTGAATAAAGTAAAAGAGAATTTTTTTTTTGCTTACGAACTAACATAAAACCATTTTTTTTGTATTTATTGAATTGCTCCATGTAATTAAAACAAATTTATCTTTGAACACAAGTTATTTTGAGATCATAGTTATGAAGATTTCATTTTTCTCAAATCTGGTCCAATGATGACCATTTATTGTACAACCAATAAAACAAAAAACAATTTGTGGAGTCTATAAAAATTACTGAATGCATGTGAATGTCATGTTGGGCAAAATCAACAGGTATATGAGTCATCCGCTCGGAAGATGCGAAAGGAAGTGAGCGTACTTTTTTTTATTCGTGCAGACAAAATTGCTAGAATATGAAAAATGTTAGTCATTTAACGAAACATAAGTTATGTATACATTTCGTTTCGAAAATTCTAATACTTAGGTCTGACCAAAAGTTCCCAGATTGCTATTGGCAATTTGATAAACCAATTAATATCGAAGAGTGTTGTGCATGGATAAATAGTGGAATGTCTTATCTATAATAGTATATACAGTAAATCTCTTTTGGACTTAGTTGTAGTATTTTTTTCGATAAACTTTAATTCGAACTAAAAAAAATTTTCAAAAATGGATAATAAATACAATCGATATTATATAAAAATTCGAACTATTTTGGGGATAAATCCAAAGACAATTCACGAAGAACTTGCAACAGCTTTGGGACCCAAGGTTCTATCATATCCAACAGTTGCAGAGTGGGCAAAGCGTTTCCGTGAAGGAAGACAGAATGTCAATGATGATCCTCTATCTGATCGTCCAGTATCCGAGCTGACAGATGAAAATATTGAACTAGTACGAGAGGTTATCACCAATGATCCACATTCAACTTATGATGATATTATAGCTGAGACATTTTTCTCTCATGGTACAATAGAACGAATAAGGGTGTGGGTGTGGGTGGTGGGTAGGTGTGGCTGTGGGAGTTGATATGCTCATCACACACACTCACACCCCACACCCACACACCCAGAATTTACCATCTCATGAAAGTTATGGTACAAGTGAAATTGCGTCAGTTATTTTGAATCAAAGAAACTAAAAGATGATAAGCAACATTTTGATAAAAAGTAGAAAATATTATTCTGTATTAAGATAGCTAAGAGTGATAATCTGTTCTGTTGGCAGAAATGTCTTTTCATATGGTAAATGCACCATCCTATTGAGATATCATCACTATCATTTCCAGTAATCGCCATTAAGCAACACACGTTATGTATCTAAAGGTCGATCTTCGATACGCTCAGAATTTATTGACGTTTTTGTTTCATTTGGAATGTCTGCTTCAATGGTACCAACATTGTCGGTATCTGCTTTGTTCTCAGGAGAACGATTTTCCAACTCACTGTGCACTGGAGGATGTGTCAATGTCACCACTTCGTAAGTGGTGTCACGATTGCCACGCGTACATGATGGTCTCAGCGTTTGGATCAGCGACCTGCCAAACCGGCGTAGAGATCGTCGGATTCTCCAACTAGTTGATTCACCGAAAAAACTAAGTCTTGTCAGTCGTCTTTTACCGTTGTCACCCATGTTTATATCAAATCCTATAATTTTTGTAATTTAAGTAAAGATATAATGTTGAAAGAACTAAACATTCTATGAAAACTAGTGACTTTTATTGACTAAGGTCGTTCATAGCGAGACTAATGACATGCTTCAATCTCACCCAATTACATGTGGCGGGCATCTTATGACACTTTATTTTTATGTCAGACTGTAGTCTACAGTTGTTGCCTCCACTATTTAGCTATCTACAAAACTATTAATATTCTTATCCTAAAAAGTGTGGCTACTTAGAGTATTCTAACTTGAAAAAACTTAGAATTATGAAAGAAATCAGAAAGTCTGCGCCGGAAAATCATGCAGTAAGTCAGTATTTATTTACAATTTCGACCACACCATCCACTGGGTGTGGCTAACAGCCTACCAAAAGTTTTAGTGCATATATTTGTTATTTCATTGAAGTTTACCAAGTATTTTTTCTTAAATTACAGGCGTCCATGCCGAGTTTGTATTTATACGAACGATCTTTCATAGTATTGTGCAAAAAATATCACTTTGGACCAATATACAAAAGTTTTGATTTCTTTGTAAGATATGAATTATTCAAAAGTCGACCAAATTTTTCTTAATATTTTCATACGGTTAGATAGAGTTTGTCGTATTCTAAAAGAATATGTACGTATATTGACAAAGATTTAACCTTTTCTTTCAGTAGAATTCACAGAAAACTACCATAGGAAGTCGAAATAATTAAAGAAAAATACTGTACATAATGTTTTTTTCTGAAAATCGAAAGACAATGAAAATTTTGTATATTGATTCAAGATGATACATTTGCATATAAATATCGAAGACCATTAGCATAAATAAAAACTCGGTATATTCACCTATAATTTAAAAGAAAAATTTTGATAAATTCAAATGAAATAGAAAAGATATACGAAAATACTATTACTTTGGTGTTTTTTGGACGTCCTGTATTTATATTTTTATTGACATAGCCGACTGTCAGCAGAGTATACCGTCACTTTCTCTTTCATTGGATGTTTTTTTTCATCAGGCACTACTATAAAAGAAATTTATATTTTTTTTTAGTAGAATAGATTTTTTTTTATAACGTAGTGTTGCTATTGGAAGCGCAAGAGAATTATTCGTTCTAGCAACTCGTTCTGTTTCATTCTCATACGACAACCAATTTCAAGTGCGACCGATGCTTGATTGACAAGGGTAAACTAAGGTGTAGGTGCTGATGTCAGTTGGTGGGCATGAGTGTAGATATCAGTTTTAGCATTTTATTCACCAACACAGAGACCCATACCCTAGTTCAAGTGTCATCTGAAGCATTTAAAGAAACTTTTTTGCCACTCACAACTCTCTTTAAAAGAAACGAATGCATCGTTCTGTGAGTTGCAAAACTGATTCATGATTTATTATGAAAGAAAAGAAAAGAAGAAGCGATAGTAGTGAAAAAAGCTGTGAGTGAAATTCATAAAGAAGAAATACAGACTACTATTTCTAGTAATTGAGTTGTATGGCGGTGTACTTCTCAAGATATTTCTTAAAAGGATGAGCAAGGAGAACAAAACCATATAAAAGATCCATCTGATTCGTCGCAGTTCTGAAAAAGTTTATTCGAAAAATTTGCAGTATTCATAGAATGCCCATCTTGATCATAGCAGTCAACTGTGAACTCGACCTTGAGCACTATCGTATTTCTATTTATCAAATCCATTGGAAAGACTTTTTTGTCGCACTAGAAGAAATATCGAATGAGTTGATGGAGATTACTTCAGCCAGAAGCTGTCGATAAAAAAAAAAACTTGCTACAAGCGAGTAAAATGAACAACCAAAACAGTGCTATAATGAAAAGTGAGGCAAGTAGAAAATATTATCGATTTGCTTTTGAAATTGAACGATTATAGAAATTTGTAGAAGTTCCATGACTTTTAGCGAGCCAACTACGATTTAGACACTTTATTATCTTTAGACCAGCGACACGAAATGTGTATGTTCACATAAAACACTGACAATCATCCACAGACTTCCATATAATATTTCACCAGATTACTAAAAGTTTCGTTGTGACCCTACAAGAAGGAAATATATAATCATAAAAATCATGTGAACTCAGATATCATTTTTATGTAGAAGTTAATGCGAATAGTAAATGAGTCAAACATTTGCATAAAAGATTGCAATAAAGTTTATAAATTAATTTGATTGTGGACGTGGATCAGATGATGCACTGTGAGTGTGAGCATAGCTCTTGTCTTCCTTCATACTCATATCATGCTTTCATGTCAGTGCAAAAAAGAAATATTTATCGATGTCTAGCTATCTCGTATCTATATGAAGAGACGTTTTCCAAAAAAAAATCAAAACTGAAGTGCCCACAGCAGTATAGATAAGATAAAAACAAAGCTGCAAAACATCGTAGAAAACATAAATGAGCGGTACATGGTACATATTTCGTTTCGAGATTGGCATTATAATCTGTCGCTGAGCTAATATCGATGATGACCTCATATTTGATCAGCATGTTTTCTGAATCATCGTGAACTTGCTCAAGATAACATAAACGTCAGAAGCTATTTCAGAAGTGGAAGAGGTTATCCTTAACACATTCATCACGATGGAACCCATTGATGGGTCTCAGTGTGGTCAATCGTCGTGGTCAAATCGCCTCCAATGTGACACATTCTTATAAAAATCGTTCAAATAGTCTATCTTGTATAGTTTGCAACGCTCTTTCCGATGATATATTTGAAAGCTAATTTTGATCTTATTATGGTGGAGAAAAACAAGACTTATTGAAGATCTGCACCAGGACATGAGTACTTGTTGAAATTCAGACCTTTTCCAAGATGTGTTTTCAATAAAAACTACACTATTGTGTAGAGCGTTCTTTTTTCTATCGAATGATATATTTTGAAAAAGAATTCATGTAACAATAGAAATGAGATGATGCAAAGGATAAGTAGGAATGCACATCATTTTAATAGTGGCGTAACCAGAGGAGGGCTAGAGGGGGCTCAGCCCCATCTAGCAAGGTTTCTGACTCCTTTGATTGAACGAAATTACCTGTCACTCGTTTATTAATAGAAGTATACATATGTTTTATTCAAAATAGCAAGCATTTATAATAGAGAGAAGTTCACATTTTTCTGAGATATTTCTTAAAAAATTGAATACTGTAAAGGATAATTCACTTATTTCTACTTGCTTTCCTCAGTTTATTGTATTTCTGCGAAACGTCGAAAACTTTTAATTCTATATAATTAGATAGTTCATTACTTATCTTATCCAATTATATAATTTTTATTTGTTTTATCAGATGTCTTGATTAAAAAATTTGAAAAGTCTCAAAACTAGCTTTAAAAAACACTTTTGCAAACGTCTGTTTGACTCAGACCGAGTTTTATTGTCGCAAAAGTAATCTTAAATGAAAGAGATCCTTCATACATAAAGTTGGACCAAGTATCACATGAAAATGTTTGGAATTCGAACAGAAAAATATTATTTATTATGGAAATTTTAGGCACTTTCGTACTAATTCATTTCTGGTGCTGTTCATGTAATCTTAGATTTAGCTATAAGATTTTATAATCAAATGAGACTAAATTTGCATGAATCAGTAGAGAAACTGCTGCTCTATGGAACAGTATATTAATGGAAAAGACTGAGAGAACTAGAGAGCTGTAATTTACTTGACAAGGGTCTGGGTGTGGGGTGTGGATGTGAGTGTGGGTGGGTGTGGGGCGTGGGTAGTGTGGGCGTGGGCGTGGGTGGTGTGGGTGTGGGGTGTGTAGGGCGGGTGTGGGTGTGGGTCTGTGAATATCTTCAATCACACCCACACTCACACCCACACCCACACCGACACCCACACACCCACCCCGCACCCACACCCACACACCCACACCCACACACACTCACACACTCACACCCACACCCACACCCCACACCCACCCACACCCACACCCCACACCCAAACCCACACCCACACCCTCAACTTTGAATGACATTCAAACTTTTATTCAATAGACAAATAAGTAATGAATAGTTTACAAGATATTTTCTCGAGAGAAAAAAAAAATCTAAACACAAGACAACATTTAAAATAATGATAGATATGTGGACCTAATCAATCTAGACAGACACTCGATTTCTTTTGTTTATCATCCTGCTTCTATAGCATATTAAATAAATATGATTTATCGAAGAAATTTCATTATTTTTATTTTGGATACGATATAGACGCCTCATCCTTGACAGATCATCATCACTATATTAGTACTATAAATGGTAAAAAAAAATCATATTTAATATAATATGTTATAGAAGCAGCATGAAACAAAAGAATTCGGATATCCGATTAGATTGATCAGTCTCATTTAGTTTTTGAAATACAACATAAAGAATTGAAACAAGTAGAAAGTGTGTATGTAGATTTAAATATTTTCAATGAATTTTTTTCAATGAATAATTAATATTTGAACGATATTGGATGAGTTTGATTATGTTGATTTGATTTTGTAATATCCACAGCACTTACTCGAGATTGATTTCTACTCCACATATATTTTATTTGTTGTTTGAATTCCTTACGGAATAATGTTGAACTCAAACAATGAATATAAAAATTTATCTAAGGATTAAATAAGAAAGGCATTAGATGATTATATATGAAAAGAAATAGTTACTGCATAATTGAGACTTTGAAGCCATCCTAATCCTACCCAAATACCAACAATTCGAAAAAGCAAAAGTACTGGATTGCCTTCTCGTGGTGATGCAATTTTATAAAGAGCCACCGGAAGAGAAGTAATTAGAAAAATAGCAATACTTGCCAACATAAGAATAAACATTTGTTTTTGAAGAGTTTTTTGTCGGTTCATATTTTTGTCTCCATGGCATATTTGATTTGATTGGATAACCGCTTTTTTACGAAGACGAACATTAATAAATATATCAATGAGAATTATCAACATTATCATGGATGGAACTAAGCAATTTGTAAAGATCTAAATCAGATATATACGATTGGTTTTTTATTTAGTAGATAAAAAGGAGAGTATATCCGGAGGAAATCGACAGACGATTTCATCACCACATCCAAATCCAGTGAAACTCTCACAATTTCTAGAGCTTTTTGCGTTGATCATTTTGCTAGTAAAATGTTTAAGACTAGGCTTTATTGTCATAAAGACAGAGATCAAATACTATTGATGCATTTGATGTTTTTGCGTATGATTTCGAAATAAATTCTAGTCAGACTTTTATCAAAAAGCCGATCATAGTTTATCATTACACACTCGAATTTTAAAACCAGTTACATATTCGGATTCCTTATAAAAAACTGCATTAGAATGACTGAGAATCTGAAAATATTTCATGCATTTTTCTATTATCCATTGATTGACACTCTTGAGAAAAAAAATATTCGAGAAAGTCGATAGGAAAATCGAGATGAACGAGAAAGGTGGCATTACCAGTTCGATAGAGAAGATCTTGCTCTAAACATGTACTAATTTGTTTTTTCATCCATCTTTTATTTGGAAAGGAACCACACTCAAAACTAACGGATGACCCATTATAAATGGCAGAACTTTGCATTTCATATTTTAATCCCTAAATAGGTTTTACTAAAAAAAATTAAATTTATTAAAAGATGCAGCGTGAAAAGTTCTACAATCTAGAAAATAAAGCTTATTTTAATTGTTTACTTTTTTATTTTCGAAAAAAAAGCAAACTTCCCTGCAATCAATTTTTACCCTTGCGATAACTACTCGTGCAAAATTTTCGTTCTTTTTGAAAATAAAAACTACACTATTAAAATAAGTCTTATTGTCTAGATTGTAGAGCTTTTACACGCTACATCTTTCGGTATATTTTATTTTTTTAATAAAACCTATTTAGGGATTAAAATAGGATACGCAAAGTTCTCCCATTTATTTTATGGGTCACCGGTTATTTTACACTGCAAATTTTGCATTACGTTCTGTTGAATGTATCCATGTTATCTGACTAACTAACTCAAGAATTCTCTCAAAAATTCATATAAACTATCCGAGAATTGCAAAATTGGTTATACAGATCATTTTAGTGGTAGATTATTCAATGTTTTACTCGATTTTCATAGAAATATCGGTCAAATACTATCAATAGATGAAGGCATGAAACTAGATGGAAATTATTCTAATTTCTAAAGAATCTGATGAAGTTTTTCACGAGAAATCTGAACATGCAATCGGTACAAATTAAATGATCAGTAAAGAAGTCAAAGTGTCAGCATAAAATTTGATGCTGGGTAACTATTGTTTTTGTTCAGTTAGATAATTGTTTGATCAGTAAATAAATAATTAATTAATATTAAAATAAAAACATCAGTACCCAATTAATTTGCTCATTAAATCAATAGTATTTTATCAGTAATAATTTGTATTTTTTTTCGATGAAAACATTTTGATGTAAATAGAAGAATGATTGTTCTTGTTGACTGATGATAATATTATCAGTCAACAAAATGTTTTCTTCTTTCCTATCCTTTCTTTCGCTTTATCAACAGATAAATTAAAATGGTCAGATGATGTCTGCAGTTTTCCAGCTTTTTTCAAAAAATTTCAATGTAAACATGTTGTCGGTATGGCAATTAGATTAAACTACTGGAAGCCACCACTTGTTGCCAAAGATGTTAAAATTGATGAGAAAAGATGTTGTGATAGACCATCAAAAGCAAAAAACGCATTATTGATTTATTAAATTTACGTTATTGTAATTATGCTAATTTTACTGAAAACAATTCAGAAAAAACAACAAAAAAAAATCAAATATTGATTTTTTTTCTAAATTAATTACTGAACTATTGAATTATTTGCTACGCTAAAAACAATTTTTTACTGATCGAAAAATAGTGATCATTTACTATAAAATACTGATCAATTATTAACATATAATATGCAATTGGTTTTAAAATTCGAGTGTGTAACGATAGACTATCATCGACTTTTTGATAAAAGTCTCATTAAAATTTATGGACGAAATCGTACACAAAAACATAAAATGCATCAACAGTATTTGATCTCTACCTTTATGAGAATAGAGCTTAACCTTAAACATTTTATTATCAAAATGATCAGCGCAAAAAGTTCTACAAATTCTGAAAGTTTCACTGGATAGATCTGGCGAGATCCGGCGGATATATAAAAGAATTTTGGTGAAAAATTAATAGAAGAGGATTTGTCTTAGGTCAAATTTCATAGATTTGAGTGTAAAGAAAAGAAATTGATATATTTCGATAATCTATGTAAATAGACTTTTTATTTGAGTTTAATTCAAAATGAGACAAAACTATTCAGTAATCATTAAGCTTTTGACTGACCTGAACAATACTCCATTGAAGGAAGTAAAATGATATATATGAATTGTAGATTGGATTCGGTCCACATGCTAAAATTGAAAAACCAGGTAGAAGCGTTCCAAACATGGGTGTTAATATATGAGAATGAAGAGCAATATCGATCACCAGTAATAGAGTCACAGCTATCAAAGCTTTGTTTGGTGTACAGATTAAATTTGATTTGAAGGGAAATCGTGTTCGAATCCATCGATCAATTGAAATTATCACTAATATCCATGCTGATGCTAATTGAGCTACATTTATCATAAATACACGAAATCGACAAAGTTCATTATATGCAAGACGACCATTAAAAGGAATCTATTCAAATAAAAGGGAAGTGTTTATTTCCTAAAAATGAATTTTCATTACCTTTAGACCGAATTCCAAATAATCAAAGATAGAGGTGAGTAAATATAACATGTCTGAAATAGCCAAAATAATAAAGAGACATCCAGTAGATACTTTTCGTAATGTTGCTCGTGAAAATGTAGATAAACTAGCTAGATTTCCAATAAAACCAAGTAGAAATGTAAATGAATAACCTATTTGATAGAATCGAGCGATAATGACCGGACTGGTGTTTAATGAATAGTGTGGCTCCGAAGGATATGTCACTGTTGAGTTTGTATCATTTGTCAATATTGTTGTATTCATCTTGAAGTTTTTAGAAAAATGACAATAACTAGGAATATGTAGAGAATTTCTACATGTCTGATCTTGTCACTTTTTAATTTTTTTTTCTTCATTCAAACAAGAATTTGTTGACAAAGTGCGTTGATCGTTAATTAAAATTCAAGACTACTGTCAATAGATAATATATAAGATTGTCAAAATCAGTTTATCATAAACAGAAATAGGATTTGCATGAATTCATATTATACTGACGAGTAGAAAATTGCGTAGGAGAAATAAACTCTAAGATGATTTAGTGCACTGCTATTTGCTTAATCCATTTCAGAGAATTCTAATGCAAAGTAAATATTGTAACATTTTTGAAGTTAATTAAATTTTTTTTAGTGTTCTACATGATATTGAAAAAACCTAAAGTTGAAATCATTCTCTGCGTCAATCTTTAATATATGATTAATAAAATTGGCAAATAAAATTCTACAATGCTCAATTTTATGTATTTTGAATAAATTAACATTTTGAAAAAAAAATATTTTCTTTCATAGGTAATTAATTAGTACATATTCTCTTTGTTCTTTATTGAAATAGAATATTTCATATACTTCGTCTTTTACTGCATTAACTAATTTTCATTTGACAATATAAAAAAAAATATCTCACTGTCTTCTCAAGTTAACTCTTTAACATTTTATGGTTCGAATTCCATCTAGATGAAATTAGAATTCTACTTTCGACTAGATAAATTCTGAACTGAGCTGAATTCTAACTTCGACCACGACAAATATATACTTAGGGCATACCAAAAGTACGGGCAGTGACATTTTAATACCGTGTAATTGGTTTAAATAATTTTCTTTCTGTATAGTCTGATAGAGAAAGAAAAGCTCTATCTTTCTATGCTATTTGATCATACTTCAACTAATATTGTAATATTAAATTATCTATAAAACCTATTTCGGCTGGTTATGTACTCGTAGTAAGTTTTACTTTGCAGTTTTCAATTCCTTATT